GAGGCCGCGGCCACCCGCCGTTCCAGCGCGGCCCGCGGGGGTTACCTCCAGCCGCCGCCCCGAACGCGCGCTCGCTCCGGCCTCCACCTCCTCCTCCCAGCTCTGCCGCCGCCTCTGCCGGAAAAGGCGCGGAGGCAACCGCCTCACTTCCCCTCCCGACCACGCAGGCGCACAGAGGCCGACCGTTCGGACCAGCGCGACCTCTGTAAGCAGAGCGGCCCGCGCGCCTCGCGTCAGGAGCGCCACGCGCCGAGGGGGCGGGGCTACGGCGTCCCGGAAGGGCCGCAAGGTGCGGCCCGCGCGCAGCCGGCCAACCTCGGGCTCCGGCCCGCGCCCACCTGTCGCTGTTGTGCGGCTCCGTCCAGAGTCCGTCCTCCGCGCGCTGTCCCGTGCTCCCAGCTGGGCCAGGGGAGCAAACCACCCGGTGGAGCCGCGCTTAGCCGGCTCGCACGCCGCGCCCCACCCCCGAGCTGCTTCCGGGCCTCTCCCCAGCCCTCTGCGCCCGCCAGATGCTACGCAAACTCCCCAGGGCCCGCGCTGAACCTCGCGCGCCCTCCGGCTCCCGGCGAAGCCCGGTGCCTGGCTTTTCCGCCGCCCCTCCCCGGCTTGCCTGGTCCCCGGAGTCCTGTGCTTCCTGGAGGACACGTGGCAGGCCGGCTTTCCGGGTGGGATCGGCCAGGCAGAGCCACCCACGCCTTCGCTGGCGGGTGATTGCCCCGATGCTACTTTTGAATATTTGAACCGCGTCTGTCGTGCCGGAACCAGCCCACATTCTTACAAGTTACAGTGTTATCAAGAGTCCCCGTACCTTACTGTTTGGAACTATTTTAAAGTGCGAAAACTTCATATTTATCACCTTTTAGTGCACTTAGTTGTAGCTTCTCACCCAGCCACCCACCCATTGTTAACTTTGAAAAACCTTGACGCGATGACGGTAGCTTAGGATTTCGTCTTCTACAGCCTGGATCTGGTCCCTTAACCTTGCCGAGTTTATCTCCTGTGTAAACTGACCTTGCTTACTCCACCCCACTTGAGGATTAGCAAATGCAATGTTTGTGAGTGATTTAGGAAATCTTTTCGTACCAAGTGGTGCTAAAGTTAGATTTAAAATAAGGTGAAGAACGGAAACAAAGCTTTGTAAATAAGGCGGGGAGGAGGGGTTAGAGGCAGGGGAGGGGAATTGGGAAAAATAAGAGAAATCGAGGTATATCATGTACAGGTACAAATTCCCAATGATGAATGAGTTTATTGTGTTTATCTAAATTGTACCAGTAAACTTAATAAAGTGGAAAAATAAGCGAAGAAAAAATAAGATGAAAGCTTAAGTATCAAAGGAAGAACAGGAAGTAAGTAGTTTTTTTTTTTTTTAAGTGGACTGTGCTGGGATAGCATTTGATAACATTTTTATTTCACAATTTTCTTAATTTGCGAAATAAAATTAGCTGGGTGTGGTGGCACATGCACAGCTGTAATCTCAGCACTCTGAGAAGCTGAAGCAGGAGGATCGCAAATTTGAGCCTAGTCTGGGCAATTTAGCAATTTAGGGAAACTGTCCAAATTTAGAAGTGGAGAAGAGTTCAGCGCAAAGGCCCTGGGTTCAATCCCCCGTACTCCCAAAAAAGAAGGAAGAGAAGGGAGAGGAGGAGGAGCTATGCGGCCCTGAGTTCAGTTTCCTGAACCAAAGAAAGAAAGAAAAAAAGAAAACCCCATCTCTTCCTGTTACTCAAAGGCCGTGAGAAATTTCTCCAACTTGTAAACCAAGCTTCTCTGGAAAGCACTCTTTTATAATTTCTAATCTGTTTAATAGCCACGTACAATATACATATCATATTCCTGACAATATTTTAAAACTTCACTTGTAAAAAGTGGCTTAGACTTCATTTTTTAAAATACAATTAATGAGCCAGGGATATAGCTCAGAGGTACAGCACCTGCCTGGCAAGCAGGAGGTCCTGAGTTTGCTTCCCGGTACCAAAAAAAAAAAAAAAAAAGCAAATAAAATACAATTAATGTCTTCCTTAACAACAGTACTTAAACTGTTTTCTCCTGTTTCTGAATTTCTGTAGCTCTACATTCATTTGATAGAGCCCAGTTATATATTTGTGTTTCTCATATGCAGCAGTGAGATCAGTTGAGACTACAGGGAAAGGGTGGTCTGATCATGTACTTGTTTGATGATGATTTCATCTTAAACCCTGAAGCCAGTCTTAGAAAAATTGAGCTCTATTTGAAGACATGTAATCCCAGAAAAAAAATCTCTTAGCAGTAGAAATACAGAATAAACAAGAAATTGCAAACTCTCAGCTACTTGGGAAGCTGAAGCAGGAGGGTTGGCCAGCCTGAACATTTTAGCAAGACGCTGTCTCAAATTTATTTAAGGGCTTTTTTTTTTTTTTTTTTTTTTAATTTAAAAGGCTGGGGCCAGGCGTGGCGGCGCTCGCTTGAAATCCCAGCATTTGGAGCCTGAAGCAGGAGGATCACTGAGAATTCAAGGCTAGCCTCGGTTTACACAGTGAGTTCAAAGTTAGTCTGAATTACATTATGAGACCCTGTCTCAAAACAAAAAAAGGCTGGGAAAGTAGTCCAGTGGTAGAAGGTTTACTGCCTAGAATGTGTGAGGTCCTGGGTTGAACTGTTAGCACTGGGCTACCATGCCCAGCTCTTTACAAAAATTCTTGAAACAGCTAATGGAGGGAAGAGAATTAGTTCTTGCTTGGAATTTTACCTGTAAGTCTCTTTAAGGGTGGTTTATGTCCTTTCCTTTGTGTTTCTTTGTTTGCTTTTAGAGATGGTATTGCTGTGTAGCCCAGGTTGGCCTCAGATTCCTGGAGATCCTCCTGCCTCAGCCTTCCTAGTGCTGGGACCACATGGATGTGCCACCACACCTGGCTTATCTTTTTTATTTTTTAATCCTTTATGCCTAGCATAATTCGTGGTATATGTTATAATTAAGTTTCAAATCATTTTTACTTGTAAATATTATTGGTAGCTTTAGTAAGTAATCAGTGAAGTGTGGTACTGGGGATTAAACAGTCTTCACCCTAAACTACATGCCCAGGCCTTTTTATTTTTTGTTTTGAGACAGGGTCTCACTAAGTCACTAAATTGCCCAGGCTGAGTTTAAATTTGTGATCCTCCTGCCTCAGCCTCCCAGAGTGCTAGGATTACAGGCAAGTGTCACCATATCAGGCTGCAAATATTTTTAAATGTTGAAAGGGACTCTAAGGGAACAAAAATGACAGTTCACTCCCTCATCCTCTCCCTATGTCAGCTAAGGACCTGCCTTCTAGTTCTCTTTAACCATTAAAAAGGTGTATCCCTGTAGTGGATTGACAACTGGTGGTCAACTTATAACCCCCAGCTGAACTGAGTAAGCGTGGTGCTGGGTGTGGGAGGCCTGCCTGAGGACTGTTGCCAGCAGCATAAGAGGCAGACCTGGAGAAAAAGAAGTAAAGCTGTTGGGAGCAGAGAAAGGCAGTTGGGAACTGGTAGAAGTTGTTGGGAGCCTGTTGGAAGCTGAGAGAAGGTGCAAGGAGCTGCTGGTTTTCTTCAAGGACCTTGCCATGCTGGCTTTCCTGATGAACTCAGCTGTTCCCATTGTCCAAGGAACTTGGGACCTTGTTGTTACGGAGAATGGCTTTGGTTCACTTTGGGGGAGCTCTGGTCCTCACTTTGAGCATCTTCCTGACTCTGGAGGGGAAGATGGTGCACTGCGAGTCTCCTGAAGAAGCTCTCTGCTCTGGCTTCCCTGATGGGAACTCAGCTGTCTTGATCATCAGAGGGGCTCGGGACCTCACTGTTGCTGAGGATGGCTGTGGTACCTTTCAGGGGAGCTCTGGTTCTTCTGAGCGTCACTTCCTGGCTCCAGTGCAGATCCCTCAGCCTGCTAGCACTGATCCTTCATCCCGCTGGCACAGACTTCCTAGATCCCACCACTGACCTTTGGGCCTTCCCAGCACAGGTCCGTGAAACAGGCCTACATGAGATGTGGTCATGGGCTCTGGGCCTCCAGTTGGATTTGTGGGAGGCATTGTTATGGGCTCTAGGTCCCGCTGGATCATGCAGGACATTGTCTCGGGATCCAGGCCCTAGGCTGGATTCTTGGTCTCTAGTGTGCGGACAGATTTCCTGTATTCCCTTGTATATGATTCTTTAAGTGACTGTTATAAATAATCTTACAAAATATGTGTCCTGTATTATATTGTTCCCCTTGCACAATAACCCCAAACCACAGCTCCTAAGTGAAATAAATCGGATACATGTGTAAATACTGCATTGTTTCTGTAGTGTGTGAGAAACTGAAAGTGTGAATAAGGATTAAAATGTGTAAGTACTGTGAAATAGGAAGAAAATGTTCACATGGGGGTGGGAACAAGAGGGGGGAAGGGAGGAAGGAAAGAAGGGAAAAGTAAAAAAAAATGAGAAAAGAAGGTAAAGATGGAAACAAAGCTTTTGTAAATAGAGAAAGGAGGAAAAGTTAAAGGGAGGGTAGGGGAATGGAAAATAAGGTATATCATGTACAGGTGCAGATTCTCTATGATGAATGTGATCATTATGTGTATCTAAAATGTAACAATAAAATTTGATTGGAAAGAAAAAAAAGGCATATCCCATTGAAAACCTTGACAGTTACACTGAAGTATGAAGACTTTCTGTCCTTTTTAACTATATTACAAGTGAGGGTGCTCTAACTGAGAATGAGAATTTGAATTAGAATTGGTATTTTACAAATCAATAGCTATTTGCTTTAGACAGGAAGCAGATGACATGGTTGAGTGCCAGAAGGGTAGGGAAAGAGCGAGCTTACATCTTTAAGTTATCTCCCAAACATTTTGGTTTACCAAGGTATAACTTGGATAAGTGATTTACCCTTATTGATCATCAGGATCTCTATTCCTCTAAGGAGAAATCTCTCCTATTTGACTAAGACCAGACATGATTGTTTCCTCTTTATACTTGAAGGCGCTAGGGTACTGAAAGAGTAAGTGACTCTTATGATCAACAAATGGCACAGAAAAGGTTCAAGTTAAGATTTTTTTTTCAGCTGGGCGTGGTAGCACATGCCTGTAATTCCAACACTCGAGAGGCTGAGGCAGGAGGATCTTTGCAAGTTCGAGACCAGCCTGGGCTACAAAGTGAGCTCAAGGCTAGCCTGAACTGCACAGCAAGACCCTGTCTCAAAAAGACAAAAAAAAAAATATTTTTTTTCATCCAATTCTGGTGCTCTTTTCTCTATGTTACTGAACTATTGGGAATACTGAACTACTACTGTTTGTTTGTTTGTTTTTGCAGTACTGGGGATTGAACTCAAGACCTTGCCCTTGCCAGGCAGGCACTTAGGCCACTGAGCTATATTCCCATCCCCTTGAACTACTGTTTATGTGGTGATTTAGGAGGCTGGACTGAATCAATGGTTTTTAGCCTGGATACACATTGGAATCACCCGGGGAGCTTTTATCACCACAAAAATGTTTGGGCTATACCTCAGATAAGTTAAGTCAAAATAACTGGCATGAAGGGCCTACCCACTATAATTTTTTAAAGGTCTGTGAGTGATCCTAATATGTATGTAAGATTGAGAAGAGCTCCACTAATGCTAAATTCCTTTCACATTCAAAATTCTACGACTTCTGCCCGGGTGTGGTGGCCCTTGCCTATCATCCCATCTACACAGGAGGCTGTGGCAGGAGGATCTCAAGTCTCAAGCCAGCCTGGAAAATGTAATAAGACCCTGTTTCAAAAATTTTAAAAAGCTGAATATTGTGGCACTCA